CCCTTCGGGTTCTGGCATCTCCCCAGCCCGTCCAGCACCCGGCGCGCTGGCAGGAGCTGCTGGGTGGCACTGGGATGGGTGCAGGGACTCGCTCCCCACCCCGAGTGACTCAGCCCCAGGGAAGTGGGTTCTGGCCCTGCCCCACAGCCAGGCGTGGGGGGAAGCTGCCAGAAAGTGGCCTTTGCTTCCTCCTCCTCACTGGACATGTGAAGGTCCCGGTTCCACCATAAAACAGTGACCTCATGAGTGACGTCAGGGGTTTTGTTCCTCTTTTTGCTCTCCGAGCACACAAGATCCGCCTGGACCCTGGCACTGCCCAAAGCCCTTCCCAGAGGTGTCATGGTGCCAGCAACCACACCAGGTCAGTTGGCACCAAGCTGGGCACTGCTGGGCACGCCTGGCCTGGCCGTGTCCCCTCTGCTCCCTCTTTGTGGGGCTGCCTTGCAACGCTGGGTCCTTGTGCCGTCACGGGGTGGAGTGGGCTGCCAGGCAATGCTGGGCTGGCCGGAGGCTCCTGGCTTCGCACCTTTTCCCTGCCGCAGGGTTTCTCCGGGACAGGGCAGGCAGTTTCTATGGCACTGAGTTTTGGCAATAAATCTGCCCTCGCCCTGCTGAGAGAACCCGAAGGACCAGTTTCTCCTCCCGGATGCGATTCCTCCCCATCGCCCTTCCCGGCTCCCCTGACCACCCTGTGCCCATCAACCCGTGTGGGTGCCACCGGGCATCTCTGCACCTTGTAACCCTTAGGCTTGCCTGATTCCCCCAGACTGGCACCCCGTGGTGCCTGGTGGCACCCCAAAAGCTGACAGCTGTGCCGTCAGAGCACGAGGCCAAAAAGTCCCCGGGGGCACGTGGTAGCAAGCAGAAACTTCCTTATTGCCCCCAGGAAGGCACCCTTGGGCTCGAGGTGCCCAAGCAGCTGACGAGGGGCATGTGTGTGCTGGGGTGGGGATGGGGGGTTCCCCTTTTCCACCCATGACACGGGGTGGGGGAGAGCGGGAGGGTAAAGGCTCCCTGGCAGGGGCCGCAGGCAGTGCCTTGCCTGAGCCTGGGCCACCGCTGTCTGCAGCCACGCACCCTTCAGTGCTCCCTGGCCAGGGGCTGTGCCACCCACCGTCGGCAACAACCCCCGCGTGGGTGCCAACCAGCCCACGGTGGTGTGGGCAGAAGCCCTCCGAGATGGGCAGAGCCGGCAGGGTGAAGGGCAGGGTGGCTGGGTGGCTCTTCTCCTGGGTCAGGTTTGCCCCTCTCCCGGCTGGGGAGGCGATGAGGATGGCAGGGGAAGAGACTCGGTCATGCGGGGGGACGCTGGGCAGCAGAGCTGGCGTCATGGCCAGGGCCAGGCTCCGCAGACGGACCCTGGGGTTCGCTCTGTACAGGGAAACAGGGGTGTATGCTCCCACCCGCCTGGACCCCTGGGAACACTGTGGCATCTTCAGCCTTATTCCATCAAGCCCTGATGTGACAGGGACTGGCCTGATGTCGCTGTATTTCCGCCTCCTGCAGCAGCCTTGGACCTTGTCCTTGTGGGAAAGAGCCACTTTAGGAGCCGAAGCGGGGAATTTCCCCCTGCTGGGGAGCGGGATGGCTCAAGGCTGAGCTGCTCCCTCCGAAGTAATAAGGAAGGGGCTGGTGCATGGGCTGGGCTGGGGTGGATCTGGCTCCCCGGCAGCCTCCCACAGGGCAGCATCCCCGTGGGCACGGGGTGAGGACAAGGAGGG